GTTGGAAAAATAGTGAAAAATGATAAAAGTTGCATTTAGCATATAAACCGTTACAGACCTTTGTCATTTTTCATTTTAAAGATGGAGTAAACAAACTTATGTTCATACAATAGTGAACGAAAGACAAACGCATACACGACACATACAACAAGGATTACTTCATAACCACAGTATCTCACAAAAGGCTACCAGTAAATGAAAATGAAAAACATTCTCTCCCCTATGAATTGTGACCTACCCACCCCATCATGAAATAATGGTTCACTCCAAATATTACTGAAAAAACATTTACTGTAAAGTTTGATTACTCACATGCTCTTCAGATAATTTATCCATTTCCTTATCTTCATCATCATGTAGTTCTTTTTCTAATTGCATCCTTTCAGCACCTTGTCTTTTAACCAGATCAGCACTTGACCCTCTTCCAGATACTGTCTTACCATAGATATTGTAGGTACCAAGATTACCTCCAAGACCGGCTTGTCTCAGGATATCTATTGAAAGTGGGATGCTACCTGAGTTGATCCGCTCTAGAAGTAACTGTAATGCTTGCATGAGTTCTTGATCACGTGAACTGCCACCTGCAATACAAGTAAATATCAATTTTTTGTTATAAAACTTATAATAATTGGAATCAAATGCATCTCAAGTTAGTCTGACAAATTTTAATTCATTGACTCAAGAATACAACATTCTCTCATGATTTTACAAATAACGTGATGACAAAAGTTGGTAAGTAAATTATTTAACTACTGCTTTGACAGTCAAAATTCTTATTTTACAAAAGACACATATAATTTAATTATTTTCGTAATTACATCTTAATAGACATCACTTATAAGACATGCAATACTGAAAAACAAAGGTTTTAATTTTTATTTGTACCATGTGAAAATTCAGGAGAATGAAGTCACTGCTATCATTCATGAGGTTTTTCATGTCATTGGTGATATATTGCAAATACATTATGCAATCCAGTCTTCATAATAGCTCTCGCTTGGAAAGCTGAGCAAAGTGTGCAGTAGTGATTAATACTGCAGAGTAAGCAGTTAGCTCTGAGAAATGAACCCACAACTTCCTTGATGTGAGATGAATGATAACTATTGTATTATTGCTCAGGTCAGGGTTTTTAGAAATTGAAAATAAATTTCCTAAAATCAACTAACATAAAAAAAAACCTTAGTTGAAATACTATGAAACAATGACAAACTATCGTACCTAAATTATACTGGCGGGTCACGTCACCTCCACGGATAGTAGTATTAACCACAGTAGCTCCAGCGCCTGTCATACCCGATTCAGCAGCACCATCACGCAATGCTTGACGCCGTCGGTTCTTCTCAATCTCTTCAAGTTTCGACAAGTCTAAGTTATTTAACATGTTCTTCAACTCGTCATTCTGTCGACTGATTCTATCATAGAAGTTTTTCAGTTCTTCCCTATGTTTGGCTAACTGTGCATTCAGGTACAGTGTCTGGTCTTCCAACTTATCATAGAATGTCCGTGCATTGAAATCTTCCAATTCTCCATTCTCTGTAGATTTATAAGCAAGTCCACCTTCTATCCCATCTGGTATACCACGTGGTCCAAAAACAATTTCCTCTCTACTTAATAAATACATAACTATCAGTAATCATAGTTTTTCTGTTAAAGGGCTTTATATTCTGTGTTTGGTCATTTATTTTAAATCTATGTAATTTTTCGTGCACTGTGAGATATGCCATTTTGTATGATATTGAACAGAATAGACGAAAGTTATAGCAACATAAAAATTTGATCAACGCAGACAGATATTTTCATGTTTAATACACATTAGATGATGGGCAATTTTGATAAGGTTATTTCAACGACATGTTCCCTCGGAAAGATTGGAGTTTTGATAAATACAAAAGTTCAAGTTAAAAATCAAAGCATCCAATTGTTTATGGCTGACGTTTGATCGAAGCCTCAAAATCATAATGCAAAATTAATCAAAATCATCTCATAGAAGTACAAAAAATCATCTATTCTGAGCCAAAATGAAATTTGTGGCACGAAACATTATGCTACATACATATTCCAACTGCACTTAGAGAGCTGGAAAATCATTTTCTTGGGGCCCCCAAATGATCACTTATTTCATATTTGAAAGCTTTGGCTGTGACTCCATGTTAATTATCTCACACAAAGCTAAAATTGATCACAGTATCTAGAAATGACTGTTGGTATCTCGTTGAGAGCAAAAAAGCCAACTGAAGAGAATTCTTCTTCTGTTGTTGTGTCCACTGCCCCAGATACCATGGTTACATATGTAGGACTCAATGACGAAAGAGAATATACATGTAACACTATTTAAGAAATAACAAGAAATCATATGGCATTCTCGTTCTCAGTGAGATTTCGGCAGACCATTTATGTCTATTGGATAACCTACATACATAGTACATAACACGCCATTCATACATACCTATCATAGTCACAGTACTGTAAATAGGGTGGGATCTGTGGAGGTGCACCAACATTACGATACTTGGGTTTCCACATTTTCATTGGATAAATACCAGCATTACGAGGTCGCCACACAATAACAGCAACTATCACCATGACAATACATGCAGCGAGGAATGCAAGCATACCTAGATAAATAAATTGCATCATATATTTATTGTACATTTCAATAAAGCCAATTATGCAATAAACAAACTTAATAACCAGTGTTTTTGAAAATATTATTCACCTACTCAAAAAATATGATTGAGATACATATCCACTGCATCTGGTGAATACCATAATATTTCATTACATTTAGCTTTTTTCCCCCTTGAAATTAGAACTAGTTTCAAACTGCAGATCAATGAGACTAGTTCAAACTAATTCATATCCTGTAAGAACTAGTTCAAACCAGTTATATTTTCTTTAAAAGAACTAGAACAAAGCAGTCTTAATCTCCTGTAAAAACCAAATCAAACCAGTCTCCTAATCTTGCAAGAACCAGATCAAACCAGTCTCACTACCTGTGAAAACCAAATCAAACCAGTCTCCTAATCTTGCAAGAACCAGATCAAACCAGTCTCACTACCTGTGAAAACCAAATCAAACCAGTCTCCTAATCTTGCAAGAACCAGATCAAACCAGTCTCACTACCTGTGAAAACCAAATCAAACCAGTCTCCTAATCTTGCAAGAACCAGATCAAACCAGTCTCACTACCTGTGAAAACCAAATCAAACCAGTCTCCTAATCTTGCAAGAACCAGATCAAACCAGTCTCACTACCTGTGAAAACCAAATCAAACCAGTCTCCTAATCTTGCAAGAACCAGATCAAACCAGTCTCACTACCTGTAAAAACCAAATCAAACCAGTCTAGGAAATCATCTTTATCAAACTGATTCTTACCTATAACAAGCCCCCAGTCTGGTTCCTCATTTAAAACATTATTTCGAGTGACACCATAGTAAACTAAGTTTGAAGGTGATGATGGCTGAATACGATTCTGGCTGTCATCACAGATAGCACCATCTGGTTTGACCGATATAATCATCTCTCTGTCTGGCTCCTGTGCATCAGCAAAAACAAACTCTCCTGCTTCAGTGAACACATGTGCGAATGTCCAGATTGTTAGGTTTGTCTCCTCGACGAGGAATTTCAACTCTGTGAACGCCCCGTAGTCAAATGTTGGGTTGGAGTTATACAAATGGTCCTTTACATACACGGGATAATTGCTGAGACTTCGGTCAGTTTCGTCAATGTAAATACGGAACACAATCATATCTTCTATCTCCAGACATATAACCGGATTAGGAATATACGGTACATTGGTAACTGGCGACGCTGACTGTAGAAGTTTTCGTCTCGCACTTGCTGGTACATAGCTGGGAGAAGCAGTAATTGGTGCTGAAATAAAAGAATATATAAAATAATTATTTTATTAATCTATAACAATGACAAGAAACATTGACTGCACTGTCCCTGTGTTGTTTTTACTGGCAGTAGATCTCAACGTTCAGCACAAATCACATATACACCAAAGACTCCATGCATAAACTGCATAGACTGATAACTAAATATAAAATGGTGATTATGATTACATATACAAGCAGAGAAACTAGCATAGATACCAAATGATCATTAATTAGCTATTTTTGTTTGAATCTCAAAAAGACTATGACATGCATCTGTAACCAAGTGTGCATGATTCTGATACAAAGTCTTGCTTCATCTGTTACAGACTGTGATAACAAGTATTTTTGACGAAATATTTCTGAATGAAATTGTATCAGAATTTAGCATTTATTGCTGCCAGTCAGCCACATATGATTTAATGGTAAAGAAAATCAACATATATTAAGTTATCCCACATTACTTTTAGTTTTTATTCTGAATGTGATTGTTCACGCCAAACAATATTTCACTTGAAATGATACTTTGTATGCCATTTTAAGATATATTTTATCAACTTACTTTGCAAGATGTCCATCTGTTCCTTGTCTGTGATGATATGACCTTGTATTTCAGTTGTAGTAAAGCTAACAATGATAGTTAATTTGGTGCCAGATGTGTGTTGACTTGGGCCAACAGTGTTAGGGACAGTCTGCAATACAAATAACATAATATTT